CGGATGAAATGATGATAAAATAATAATAATAATAATAATAATAATAATAATAATAATAATAATAATAATAGTGACAGTAATTATAGTAATGATAATATTAATGATAGTAATAACAATAATAATAATAACAATAATAATAACAATAATAATAACAATAATAATAACAATAATAACAATATTAAGAAGAAGAAGAAGAAGAAGAAGAAGAAGAAGAAGAAGAAGAAGAAGAAGAAGAAGAAGAAGAAGAAGAAGAAGAAGAAGAAGAAGAAGAAGAAGAAGAAGAAGAAGAAGAAGAAGAAGAAGAAGAAGACATAGAAGACATAGAAGACATAGAAGACATAGAAGACATAGAAGACATAAAAGACATAGAAGACATAGTCAGAAAAATAGTAGTAGTAATAATAATAATAATAATAATAATAATAATAATAATAATAATAATAATAATAATAATAACACAGAAAGTGGTAGTAATAATATTAATAAAAATGATGATAACAATGATAACATTAATAATAATAATAATAACAATGATAACATTAATAATAATAATAATAACAATGACAACATTAATAATAATAATAATAATAATAATACATTGTAATAATAATAGTAATAATAATAGTAATAATAGTAATAATAATAATAATAATAGTAATAATAGTAATAATAATAATAATAATAGTAATAATAGTAATAATAATAATAATTTTATTTTTAAATATTTTTTTTTAATTCCCCCCCAAAAAAATTGATAATAATAATATTAGTAATAATAAATAATAATAATAATAATAATAATAATAATAATAACAATAATAATAATGTTAATATAATATAATAATAATGTTAATAATAATATAATAATAATAGCAGCAGCAGCAGCAGCAGCAGCAGCAATAGTAGTAGTAGTAGTAGTAGTAGTAGTAGTAGTAGTAGTAGTAGTAGTAGTAGTAGTAGTAGTAGTAGTAGTAATAGTAGTAGTAGTAGTAGTAGTAGTAGTAGTAGTAGTAGTAGTAGTAGTAGTAGTAGTAGTAGCAACGATTCTCTACTATACCAGTATCAGCCGTGCTATCTGCAGTAATTGAGACCTCTAGACGCTCCGAGTCTTGGCCACAGACCCCAGGTCCAGACAAGTTGAAGCTCAAGATGTACATGTGTATAGAAAGTATACTGTTCACTGAAATTGGCGTGTAATTGGTCATGGAGATTGTTATCTGGCACGGCTCTGCATTGCTGGAAAGAAAATCAACCAGAATCATCATTATCATCATCATCATCATCATCATCATCATTTTCATCTTCATCATCATCATCATCAACATTATTATTGTTATTTGTATCTTTATTATTATTATTTTATTATTATTATTATCGTTATTATTATTGGTATTGTTATTATTACAATTATTTTCATTAACATTATCATTATTTTTATTATTATTGTAATATCGATTATTATTTTTTTTACTGCTATTATTATTAGGCTACTATTATTATCATTATCATCATTATTATTATTGGTATTGTTATTATTACAATCATTGTCATTAACATTATCATTATTGTGGTTATTATTGTAATTGTTGTTGTTATTGTTATTGTTATTGCTATTATTGTTATTGTTATTATTATTATTATTATTATTATTATTATTATTATTATTATTATTATTATTATTATCAAAAAATCATTATCATTATATTATTATAAATTGAGATTGTTATAATTACCATTATTACAGCTTATGACGAATACATATAAGAAAGCAACAGGCTAATTTCTTCGGACACACAATGAGGAAAGAAGAATTGGAAAATATTGTAACAATAGGCAAGTTCCATGGAAAGAGAGGAAGAGGCAGACAGATAGAAAAGTTACTGGACAAGATGACAACATGGCTAGGAGCAGCAAGAACGACAGACACCATTGCTGCAACGTAAGACAGCGTGAAGTGGAGGCCCATGATCGCCCACTCTAGTTGTTCAGTTATCAAAAGATCTTGTAGAGAATTGCGGACTTCGAACCTTAGGTTGGTGATGGAAATGTCAGGGCTCCTCAATGTGAAGTTGGAGCCTTTGGTCAAGCTGACAGTCCGGTCCCATCCACAGTTGTCTTGTGCTCGCGAGACTGGGCGGAGAGGGCAGGAAAGCATCACATCATGAACATGTTAGACATTATTATGTTCTCTTAGATCATTTTGAATAACTGCCCATTACATGAAGAGTTCTGGACCATGAGAAATGTTAATGTTTGACCCACTCGCTGAGCCAAAATCTTAAAAATACATACATAAATTAATTCAATAAAAATAAATTAATAAAATAATAAATTAATAATTAAATTAATAAATTGTTTTAAGACATAATAAATGTTAAAACAACAATATAAATGAATTTTAAAAAAATATCTTAAAATTAAGAATAAGCATGTAAATACAAGAGCTCCTTAACTTTAGTGCAAGCCCCTCCATCATCCCCCCCACCCATCAACAACCTCACTTTCTCTCTCTCTGTCTCTCTCTCTGTCTCTCTCTCTCTCTCAGAGAGAGAGAGAGAGAGAGAGAGAGAGAGAGAGAGAGAGAGAGAGAGAGAGAGAGAGAGAGAGAGAGAGAGAGAGAGAGAGAGAGAGAGAGAGAGAGAGATAATATGAAAGATATAATACATCTTTATTGTCCAGATCCTGACACATTAGTTTGGTATTTCACCTCACCATGCACACACACACAAACACACACACACACACACACACACACACACACACACACACACACATACACACACACACACACACACACGCGCAGACAAACATGCACAGACATACACTCTCACTCTCTCCCCTCCCATATCTAGTATTATCATATTATGTGTTCAAAACTAGTTTTTATTCAAAACCCATTGACTTACCGGGAAGGGATACAAGGAAGATGGCAAACACAAAAAGGACAAGGTTCAGACCCACACAGACCGGGCCAGAGGAGGCTGTCTGTCGGAGGGTGAAGGACATCTTGTCTGTTGTCCCTGGGAAACAGAGAATATTATATATAGTCAAACTTGTGTAAGACGGCCACCATTGTCAAGGAGAAAAGTGACCGTATACGTATAAGACAGGTGGCCGTCTTAGGCAGGACGGATCCAGATGAAGAAAACAAACCATTCCCATCTGAGGTCCCAATCGAAAGTAGCCGCATTGTTGTTGTTTTGTTGTTGTTGTTGGTTTGTATTGTGTTTGTAATTTGTATTTTGTTTGCTGATTTTGCACAAGGGTGACAATAAAAAGAAATGTATCAGACGAGGAAGATCGAGTGCCGTGTTAAAACAAACACAAGGGTCGCCACCACTCGGAGAACGAGCGACATGTTGACGTCCTTTGTTACTTTGTTACAGACTGGGTAAACAGTGACCACTCATCTCACTTACGATTTGTGTATGAGTTCAGGGCGGGGCTTAAGGGTTATGAGGGATCACACGCTTGCCTCACCAGCAGCTGAAAATTGGTACTTATTGGTCAACAGTGGGAGGGGCCTAAGCAACATGATCTGTTGGAGGGACTACCTAACAACAACAACAGGTGATTGAATTATGACGGCTCACCCACAACGCCAGGGGCCAATGCACAATTTATGACAAAACGTAATGGAGTCACTAAGGTGGCCGTCTAAGACATGTGTTATTGCTTAGATCATCAAGTGACAAAACAACCCTTGTTAAGCCTAAAATAAATTACAAATCATATGGCCAACGCTCTTTTTCATATTTTGCCCCACTTGTTTGGAAAAGGCTTCCAAAAACTATCAGAGAAGCAGAAAATCTAGAAATTTTTAAGAAGAAACTAAAATCATTTCTATTTTCATCATATTTCGATTAGACAGAATGCATCCAAGCTGTAGATCGTTGTGAGTTTGTATGTGCGTATGTGCATATGTACGTATGTGTGTATGTGAGTATATATGTGTGTGTGGTGCGTGCGTGAGTGAATATGTTTTTGCATGAGTATGTAACACTATGTACCTTTAAAATTGATTTGTAAATCCATTATATGTATCATGTTGAGCGCATAGAGCATTGCATAAGTGGATATGCGCTATATAAATGCAATCCATTATTATCATTATTATTATTAGTGTGATAGGGGTTGTGAGTTAAATTATGGTGGCAGGGCCGCGTTGGACAGGTGCCCGTTTTACGCAGTTAAATTGTATAGAAAAAAACGCAAGGGGGGAAATGGAAAGTGGCCGCTTGTACAGATGGCCGTCTTATAGAGGTAGCCGTCAGGGCAGGTTTGACTGTATATATATATATATATATATATATATATATATATATATATATATATATATATATATACATATACATATATATATATATACTGACACACACACACACACAAGAACAGAGAGAGAGAGAGAGAGAGAGAGAGAGAGAGAGAGAGAGAGAGAGAGAGAGAGAGAGAGAGAGAGAGAGAGAGAGAAACATAATGAATGTGGTGGGTTGTTGGTTCAGTCGGAGCTAAAGAACTATGGTAAAAATAATAATAATAATGATAATAATAATGATAATAATAATTATAAAAATGATAATAATAATAATAATAATAATAATAATAATAATAATAATAATAATAATAATAATAACAACAACAATGATAATAGTAATGATACTAATAATTTTAATAATAATTATAAAAATGATAAAAATAATGATAATAATCTTACTACTAATGGAGCTAAGGCTAAATTTTGCGAACAATATATTCTCAGAAACTACCGAATGAAAACATAATTTACTTGATTCTTCTTCTCTTTATTCTTCTTGTTCTCCCCCTCCACCTCCTCCTGTAATTCCTCCTGCTCTTCCTCCTTCTCCTCCTCCTCCTCCTCCTTCTACTTCTTCTTCTTCTTCTTCTTCTTCTTCTTCTTCTTCTTCTTCTTCTTCTTCTACACCTACAATTCCTCCTCCTCCTTCTTTTTCTATGAGCGCTCCAAACCCGCTGTGAGAAGACGGTCAAAGGCGTGAGATCGAAACCGGAAATTTCCGTAAACCCACAACTGAACACAAATTAATATCCTTCGGCGCAGTCGACACTCCGCAATGAATATACAATGTCGAAGCAAATGATGGCGATAGCTACAAAAGGACTGAATTTAACTTAAAATGGGCTTTCTTCTTACACATTTGATCTTAATGAAAATACAATAGTGCAACACTATGTTTCAAGTTATGGGTACTGGCAAAGTTTCATATTTCTTCATTGGGTAGTTTCTGAGAATATACTGTTCGCAAAATTTGGCCTTAGCTCCATTAGTAGTAAGATGATAACAATAATAATAATATAGTAATAATAATTATAACATCAACATTAATAATAATCATAATAATCATAATAATCATGATAATAAGGGTTGTAGAAGAAGAATAAAAAGAAACACAACAATAACAACAAAAACAGCATCATCAACAACAACAATTTGATAACAATAATAATCATCCTTATTATCAACATCATCATCATCATCATCATCATCATCATCATCATCATCATCATCATCATCATCATCATCATTGTAAGTAGCTGGAAATTTAAAACTACCTAACTCAAACATACACAATGTAATTCTCAGTGTCGAGCACGTACTCTCACAGACAACCTAAGAGAACGCTCCAAAGCATCTAATGTTTAGGACGATTTCCTTGTGAACGATTAAAACACGTAGAAGTTTGAGCTCGATTACCTTTGTCACAGATACGCGGTAGCTCCAAAATGCCGAGAACAGAATAGAAGAACAATAAATTTTAGTCAGTTCGACTATAATATATATCGACGAGAGATCGTTGAGGAGTGTCTGCAGAACTGTGACACTATTCAATGTAAAGACATGTCGACAAAGTATTTTGGTCTACTTTTATCGTTATACGTCACAGAAATAAAACGGTGCAATTGACTATTCGACTCTCCTATTCAACAAACACGATTTCTCGGTTTTGACTGCTATTCGGAGCATGATAGAGACATTCGAAAACCGTGTAGTTATTACGGACAACGGACTGTGGCTCATTTTCCTCAACCAATCATAAAATGTGAAAATACCGCAATCTGGGACATATGAATAATATTATACTGCACTATACTTTGTACTTGATGGAAGCTGATTATGTTTAGTTTTAGTAGAGGTTTTACGGCACTCGCAACTGTATAAGGTCATATGAGCGCCAAAAGATTAGAGGTGTTACAAGAGAGTAACAAACATAAAAAAGAAGAAGGGCAGATTTGGACGATATATGTTTCATAGGAAAGAAGAAGCAAACCACACAAGAGCACCCTCCAACCACACACGTAGCGGATGATATGTGAAGAACGCTGTGAATAATAAATGGTAAATATTAACAAAATGATTATGAAATGTAGCATTTAAGGTAAATGCTTAAAATTTCATGGACAGTGAAGAAAACAATTTTGAGAAGTTCTTTGAATGGCAGGATGCGAAAGATCCATGATCAAAACCATCAGAAAAAGACAATTGAGATTATTTGGCCACGGAAATAGATCGAACTGACAAGAGAAACTGCCGCAGAGTTGAAAGACAGAAGGAAAGAAGAGGAAAGGAAGACAAACCCCCCCCCCCCCCAACAAAAAAACCCAAAAAACAACAATGTGCACCAATGGCCTAAACAGCTTTGCAACGAATAACACAAAGAGAAAAACCGAGCTGATCAGGAAGACAGACAACAGGAAGGAAGGAGTGGGGTACCATGATCGCCCAAGTCTGCTCCAGACCTGACACCTCACGTAGAAGGAGCATGTTATAAACACATAGGCACAGCACAAAAGGTACCGTCAAGTTTTGAAACGAAAAAAAGGTGAAATGGTACAGGTTAATAACACCCCTATCAACACTATCAGATTATTTAAGAGGCGGGACCTCCGAGTTTAACGACCATCTCTGAAAGGACCAAGCCAAATGGGAAATCCGTGTAAAGTGTCTTTCCCAAAGACACAACGTTGGGCCGAGCTGGGGTTAAAATCCCCGAACCGGCAACCTCACGACTCCTTGTCGGGTAGCGTAACCACTAGGCCACCGACACCACACGCTTCGAAACGTCAATGAAGTTTCGATTCATCCAAATCAAATAGCGCCACCACCTCTCGGGAGATTTTTTTGTTGGACCAGTAAAAGATTGGGTCTCTCTTGGACCAGTAAAAGATTGGGTCTCTTTTGGACCAGTAAAAGATTGGGTCTCTTTTGGACCAGTAAAAGATTGGGTCTCTTTTGGACCAGTAGTATTAACCGATTTCTTGCCTCGATTTCGGAATCGTTTTTATTGGCATTGCCTCTTCCGTTCTCAAGTGCAGAACATGATGTATTTTGAAATAATTACTACATAACATTCTCTATTCTGAAGGCGTGCTGTGTATTGTTGCCCCCTGCTCCCCACGAACAGGATCCTTCAAACATGATGAATGGTTTGGTATTAATATCATTATTGTTTTGTAGCTGGGTTTAAAAACTTTATATTTGTTTGTCAGTTTCTGTGTACTATTTATTAAAGCATACATATAAACGTACATAATCTAGAAGCCTATGTAAGTAAATCTTCACACCCCCACCCCCCCCCCCCCCCCCCACCTAGGGGACGGTTCACAAGCCAAGTCTAACATCACGTTACAGGCACAGAAAAAAAAATCTTAAAACCAGGTGTGTCCAGTACAACCGAGTTTCTTCTCATTTTTATTCACAGACTTCTATTCGACTCCGCTATAAATAGACCTAACGAACTGTAATACGTTCTTTCGCCCCTTTTAACCAAGGATTTTCTACTACACGATATTTGATCAAACTTGTCCCAAAGGATTCATGTATTGTGTAAACTAGTCGAAAACGTAGGCCTAGACAGGTCCAAAACGAACGCATCCCACGAGTCTTTCAGTTTTAGTAAGAGATTTTCGGCACTTGCAACGCAATAAGGTCATAATAAAAATGCCGAAGAATAGATATGTTACAAGAGTGTAACATGCAAAAAGAAGAAGGAGCCTAGGAGAGATGAGGAGGATAGATGTATGATAGGAAAGAAGGAACAAACCACACCAGAGCACCCGTCAACCACCCATTGGCAGACTTCTTTTCGACGCCTCTATAAAAATTAAAGGGCCTAACTGTAATACGTACTTTCGCCCTATTAAACTTGAGAAATACCTTTACCCGGTCAACTTGTCCCAAAGGAATCATGTATTGAGCAGACTAGTCGAAGAGGGATCAGGTATTACGTAGGCCTAGACTGGTCCAAAACGAACGTATCCAACTGATAGGAAAGAAGGAGCAAACCACACCAGAGCTCCCGTCAACCATGTACGGTAGATGTTTAATAGGAAAGAAGGAGCAAACCACACCAGAGCACCCGCCAACCGCCCACATCCCTCGAGTCTGGCTGACAGGAAGTAATGTTGAGTGAGACAACGACTAAACCTTTCAAGGAATTCGGCCAAAGTACTGTTGCCTATTTGGAATACATGTACTATTAGTTGTTGAAAGATAAGATAGCATACTTGTTTTGATTTGATAATTTTGACTGAAAAGTGACATATTCTGACTAGGGAAAGTTGGGGGGAGGGGGTGGGGTGGGGTAAGGCTTTACTCGGTTATCAACCAAGAACGCGAGTGTATTGTAGGGCGAGGTAGATCCATGACCGCCTACGTTTTCTGATAGGACTTCATCGAAGATACCGAAACTGAGTTATTTTTGGATGCCATGACCTACATGTAGCCCACCAAAGGGATTGTGAGTAGGGGCAGATTGTAGAACTTATCAGTAAGTGGGCGAGAAAGATTATTTATTAATTTATGTTGGCGTGCTGACAAAGTGAGTCACTTTCCGCACTCCACGAATGGAGATGTCGGCCAAAAATAGAAACATCAAATTTGTAGATTTTATACTCATACTTTTTTAAAAAAGTTAAACATGACGTGTTTTGTCATTTCATAATAATAACATTATAGCCTAGATGGTACAATCCATGAATTTCACGTACTAGGGTACATTGCGCCAGGGGCGAAGGCTGACTTGTTTGACAGGGTAATCAAAGTGAAACGGAACCAGATATTATGGCCTGGGGATATCACACAAGAATCTTACTCGAGGCGGCGACTCTTAAGTTGTGTGAATGAAAACAAATCCGGAATTCAACCGTCAAAATAATCGCGAAAGTATCTAATTAAATATCAATTCCAACTAAAATTGAATTTAACTTTAGAAGTGAATACACAAACCCAAAGCAAGGAAGCAGAGATATCAGTACTAGATCTATAATATTATATGTTATAGAGATACCAGGGAGTCTAACTCTTTGGTAGAACATGACAAATATCATTTTTTTAAATTTCACTTTTGGCTGTTTTTTGTCTAGCTTTTCGCGACCAGGAGCCGGTGTCATAATCGGGGTCACGATCTGATTATAGGACGTTAAAAAGTCGAGGAAAAAAAGCAAGCACAGGCAGCAGTAAAGAGATTATTAGGAGTTAGTTCCCCTCACATCTGTAAGGTAGACTCGACCAGTGTAATAGTTCACTTACATAATCAGGGCTTACGACTGATTATAACTGTGGCCCGAAAGGGGTGAACAGGGTATATGTACCAATAAAACAGTATTGACTGCTATGCACGTATTCCCTTCAACTCTATTGGTAGACTCTTCCAGCCCCACTTTAAGCTTATTTAATCAAAGCTTGTGACTGCTTATGGAGTGGCCAGAGAGGGGTGAGCAAGCTATTTCGGTGGCAGTGAAACCGTTTTGAATGTCAGGCATACTGTTCATTGTTGATTATGAACGTCATTTTACATTTAATTGATAAGGCTTACGTTTATGGGTGAATTTGACTGCTACAACGTTTCAAAATTAGGAAGGGAAGCAGTGATTAAGAGAGAGAGAGAGAGAGATTGAGAGAGAGAGAGAGAGAGAGAGAGAGAGAGAGAGAGAGAGAGAGAGAGAGAAAGAGAGGCCTACATATATGTGTTGGGGGTGGGTGGGAGAGAAAGGTTGGGAGAGAGAGATAGAGAGTGTGTGTCTGTGTGTGTGTGTGTGTGTGTGTGTGTGTGTGTGTGTGTGTGTGTGTGTGTGTGTGTGTGTGTACGTGCGTGCGCATGCAATATTATGTCAATACTGTCCATGAAAACACTAGCCAATTCCTCGATAAAACAGAACATTCACCAGAGTACGTCTCTTTCCACTTGCGCAATACTCAGTGGCGGTGGGTTGACCAAAATTTGGGTGGGGCTTAGGTTGCTTTCACTTCTTTACCACCAAATAGCAAACAATAAGAATAAAACAGTGGTGATTTTTCCATACTCACGGCGAGCCACGGCATTTTGAGAACCATTCAAACGAGAAGAGTCACCTTTGTCTTCCTTCTCTTTGTTCTACGTTAAATTCTTCTTGATGCTTCACCTCCAAACTTCTCTAATTAATTTTCATCTGATGAAAAAGTTGCCTAAAAAGTGGTTTGATATGATTAATAACTGTTAAATCTCAGCGGCACACACAACAAACATGTATACACAGCACTCCACGAGCTGGATTAGGCCGTGTAGTCGAGGAAAGTAGACAGCACCTAACAAAGGTCCAATGGGAGCGTAGGTAACTGTGTCACTGGGGGAAAGTGTGTCGTAAACTTTCACCCCATTGTCAGGGCTAGGACAGCGTGAGCCCTCTGTGCAGTGTTAGTTTTTTCAAGTCTTCTACCTTTTTACAAGAAGAGTTTCATTAATGAGGGTCAGTGGGAACCGGCTCATTTTTGCTGAGCCCTAAAGACATTTGATTAGCTGTTAGGTTACTATAGGTTGTAAGCAGTGGCAACAGTGATTGGATAAACGAGCAAGCCAACAAGTTGATTACTCTGTGTTCATTGCGTGCGGTCATAACGGTTTCAATTGCTTATTTCGTTATTTTCTTTTGCTTTGGGATAGAGTTGCGGGGCTCAAGCCCGTGAGCCCTTCACTACCCACCGCCACTGGCAATACTGTACATCTCTGTCCGGTCAGCTATCATCAGTGCAAACAATGCGCTGGGGATTTCCACAGTCAGGTCGCACTGCGCACTCTACCCAAAGCCGATATTTGGTCCAAAAAGAGACACGT